TACCTTAGTTCTTGATGTAATAGCTACATTAAAGCAACCAAAACATCATGCTGAAAAAAATATATTGTGAGGCCTGCAAAGTTGACCCCTCAAAAGTTCAGAAATGCCAGAATGAAACTTTTCAACCTGAAACTTGAATATGCCTCTCTTGTGCATATACGCTGGGATACAGCCTTTAATTCCCCAGTCACCTGCTCACTCATTACTTTATATCTGGCTCAGGCCTCCTGCGTCTCACACCACCCAGGCCCTGCACTGAAAACAGAGTTATTTCATTTCCTCCTGCCTGTGTCTCTGCAATGGTCATGGCAGAATCAGAGTGTTTCACAGCCAGGAACAGATTAGCCTCTGCCATGGTCCTGCAAGGTGAGAAGGTATTATCCCCATTGTACAGATGGGGAAGTAAGGCACAAAGAGACAATGGCCAAACATTCACCAAAGGTCCACTAATGTTGGATGCTGTGCTTGACTCACCCAACGCCTGACTTGCCAGGGTATCAGCATTTTTATGTATTGTATGTCCAAAGCAAACTTCCACTGCCCAGTGCTTCTGCCAGTCTGACCCAGGTGCCTTACATTGGGTGTCTAGAAAAAAAAAAATATTAAAGACTACCAATGAAGCTTGGCTAGGATCTTATAGAAGGCTCCCTTCACCATGTAACCCAGATTTATTCCCAGAAAGGTCCAGCCCTCACAGTGAATGAGACAGGGTCCTGTGGGGAAAAAAATAGTTCATGAAATAATATTATAATGTGCGTGTATTTCTGATATTTCCTAAATGTTGAGTGTATCACTATTCCTTCACCATCATTCCTTGATGCAATTTCCAAATTAATGCACCCCTTCCTCTAAAATTCTGCCTTGTGGAAACACCAACACACATCTTAGCTTCATTTGTAAGATTCAGAGCTTTAAATCCATGGCACAGAACTCTAGACCACCTGTGGAGAACCTGGTACTGCCACGTGGAGAAAGTGCTAACAGTAGTAATCTGTTATAATCCTCTGTGCATCAGGTACTCGAGTGACACGACACACACTTCATCAGCAGGTTTTACAAATATTTGCCAACAGCAAGTTCATGTAGTCTCATGACTCCAGGATTCAGTTCTAGTTCTTGGGTTGCGGGAGGAAGGGGGCAGCAGAAATGCACTACTATTTAATATATTTTGATTCTATTTTCCCCAAGTTCCTGGTCCCCTCTGCACTCCTATCGTCTCCATTATACTCCCCAGTTCCTGAGGCCTCTTCTCTTATCCCCATGCCTATAAAGTCCTCAAACCCTCACCCCTGCTGCCCCCTCTGGCTCCTTCCCCCTTCTCTTTTCCTGCCTCACTGGTTCCTTTCTTCCACTGCTTCCCCGCCTTCTGGCCAGTGTTCCCTCCAGCTTTTCCATACCATCTGACTCCTGCTATTCCTTTACCCCATGCTTCCACTTCCTCACCCTCCCACATCCCAAGGCAGGCTATGTCTTCTTCCTCCTTGTCTGGGTGCTAATACCAGGGGCATTCAGAGCATGAGAATGTCTCAGTTCTGGCACCCAACACACTGCAGTGGCCCTCAGCAGCACCACAGTGGCCCCTGCATCCCTGGGCTAGACACTGGTGCCTTGTGCATATGGGGAGTGGTACTTACATATAGCCCTGTTGGCATGTAGAAGTTGTATGGGGCTGGAGCATGCCGACAGCATGGTCCGGTCCATGCCAGATGGAATCAACACAGAACTGGGCTTCCAAGTTCTAACACATCCCTACGGATGTTTCTTTATGGGAATGCCAAAAAACACTGCCTTGACATTAAAAGCATCCCCTGACAATCTTCAAGTCTCTGCTCCAAAGCACAAAGGTGAGAGAACTTAAAAATCAGAGAGAAGTAGGGCTGGAAGGAACCTCCAAAGGTCATCCATTCCAACGCCCTGCCTGAGGCGGGAACCTCTTTGCAAACCTACCACTTGCAAAGCCTTTGTTAACATGGGCACAACAACAACATGTTTCTCTAATCTCAGAAATGGCTGAATCCTGCCAAAAGCCATTCAACCTGAGGGCCTACACCCAGCAATTACATTCTAGCAAGTTATGAGCAAGCTTAATTACAGGTATTACTGTCCACCTATAGCTCCCTCTAGTATTAACCCATATTGTGGAACAGGATACCCTGAACATTTGCAAATAGGCTGTGGAGTTTGTCACCTGTAGCAGACCTGTTTGCATCCAGCCTGCTTAGGGAAGTGCATTTGGTAGCTCATATAGGAGAGGAACTTGGTGCGTCTCAGCTCCTGTGCCCACTTCACAAACTCACCACCATGCTTGGCACTCAATGGCAGACTTATTGTGTAACAGGGAGCCACTCCCTGGCCACTGTTAAAAGCGGGACCCTGAGTATAGCCAGGGTCATGGCTTAACTTACCCAGAAGCCACACTAGTCTTCCACTGCCACCAGCAGGCTCTCCAGGTACAGCCAGCAACTGGTTTTGACCCTTGTGATGAGTGAGATCCCAGGTGTGACTGGGTCACCACCTGACCCAGCTGGAAGTCACGCCAGGCCTCTGCTGCCACTGGTGGCAAGCCTACCCGGGGGTAGCAGGGGGGTCAGAAGAGCCGGCAAGCTCCAGATTCCAGCAATCCCCAGATGCTGGCGATCATGCGGCTAGGGAGCTGAATGTGATTGGCCACTAAGAGGCCCAGCAGGCCCAAAAGTGAGAGGGCCAAGGCCCATTAGTCCCCTGGAGAGGGGAAAGCACAGTTTCCTAGGGGAAAGCAGTGCAGCTCTGTGTAGAACCACAGAGGAAAAGCCTGGGAGAGCAATAAACTGGTGCTCCAGCAGGAACAAGCATCAGACATCTAGAGCAGTAACCAGTGAAGAATAGCCAGCGGGAAAGAGCAGGCCACTCCACTCTCTAGCACAGAGACTAGAATACAGGTAAACCACATCGCGCGGGGAGTGGCTGAGAGAAGTCCCAGTGGGGAATCGGTTGGCAGAGCCCACAGGCCAGCAAAGGGCACCACCAAGGAGGACAGGTGATTTTTCTAAAGCAAGGCCAACAGGGAAGAATGTTGCATCTGCAAGACCTATACAAGTGAGTAATGAGTGATGAGGAAAACCCCTCAACTAAGGGTGAGAACCGCATGATGGGTGCTGGACTCATAGAACATGTGCACCGATAAAAGAGGTGCATGTCAGCATCAAGCGAACCCCAAGGAGCCTTATTGGGAAAGGGAGTGAATAAGCATCAGTGACTAGGTGAGCTACCGGTCAAGAGACTCCATATTGGAAAGACCATAGTATTGGCCCTACAGGTGTGGTGAGGACACAGTGTAGGGAAGGTGGAGCCCTGTGAAGAGGACACACTCTTCATTGAGAGAATACTGTTTCCTCTCTTGGGTATCAACTCTCAGCTTCCCCTTTTGTTTAACATTAAGGCGTGGCAGAAGAGCATACAGAAGTGAGCAGCGGCTTTCAGGAAAAGCTATGGGGCACATTGCACCTGCTAACATAGAGCAGCCAAGAACTGCACAGCCTATAGATTATTCTCTATTATCTATGGAAGAACCTCCCCTTAGATCCAGGGTGAGGTTGCTGATGGGGCAGCAACTGGGGAAGCTTGCTATGTAGATAAGTCCCAGTTCAGTCACTGCAAGTACTGTCAACATCTTTGTTTACACTTAGGAGTCAGTGGAGGGGAAGGGGGGCAGCTACTCTGACTGCTGACTTGGGACTAACGAGCAAGGCCACAGCTATTGACAAGAGTATCAGCATTCCAGCCTCTAGACTGAGCATCAGCAAGTACAAGGAGATGGACTGAATGCTATGACATAAACTGACTCCACTGTGCACAACACTGTCCAATGAGTCCCACGGACAAATCCAAACCATGAGGCTTACCATGTTGTTATGGGTGTATTCTTCTTTAAGCCTAATTGTAGCTAAGACTATTTTGTGCAATCCCTCCACCTCTACTCTGGGACCACCTCTCAGAAGTAACTGCAGCAAGAAAAGAGTTCCAGTGAGCACCCTTGAGAGGCAGCATTTGCTTCAGCTACAGTTGTGGAGTCTGGTGGGACTTTTATGCTCTGAGAAATACTATGTCATCAAGAAATAAGAGAGAAGGGGAGCAAAGTATGTACATAGTGGGGAATTATGGCACAGTTCACATTCTGCACCAAGGACTAATTCTGACATTCCCTGACCTCAGCTTCCAAGACCTCATTGGTTTGGTATGCAACTTCCTATGTGCGACTAAAAAGATCTACACCTGGAGAAGGGTGTTTGTGCCCAAAAGCTTACAAAGAACAATTTTTCCAACCATTTAGTTGGTCTAATAAAATATATCACATTTACCCAAAGAACCTTGCCTGAAAAGACAAAGCCATTCTTCAGCACTCAGGGACTGAGTAAATGGTGTCCAACCCTTATCATGGACCACACCACAAATACTGTACAAAAAGTCCTTCACAAACTTAGCACCTCAGACTGAATGGGGGATAACCAACTGACTGCAATGAACACTCGTCACAGACAGCATTAACCATATTGAACTATGCTATATGCAGCGATGAATCGGTACCTAGGAAAGCACTTTCTCATTTTCATTTGCAAACTTCAAGGTCATAAATCAGTGGCCCAGAAACTCCCTGGCCTGGAACAAAATATTTTAAGCAAAGACATAGTGCTTCCTTAAAAGTGAACACTGTTGTTCTGCATCTGGGAAGCATTTGTTGGAAGGTGTGTACAATGTTAGGCCTGCCCACAAATTTCAAGTCATTTCTCATTCTCCAGACAGGATTCACACTGGAAGGGGATGTCAGCCATGCTGAAATACCATTGCTACATACTCCAATGCCACCAGCTGCCAGGAACATTCAGTCATCATAAGTGCTGCCCCTTGCAAATCCTTTAACTGGGGAGAACCCAGGCCACAGATACACAGGAGTATGGCAACAGCAATAGGGACCACTTTGCCCTTCCTGTGCAGCCAGCAAATTGCTGTTGAGAGAGGGTGGTCAGGAAGGCCCTGCTACACAAACTGCTTTGGAGTGTACAAGGGAGCCAGGCCTAATGCAAGACGAAGGTGGAGCGGAGATGGCTTTTGGATCAAGCCTGGGCCTGAACGCATAGGGCCAAGCTGCTGCGAGACTCTGCGCCCAGGCTCATGGTGCAGGAAGTTACTTTTGGTGACAAACATACCAAAAGGGAGGGAGACTATAGCCCTCCGTGCCTCTCCCCTGGATGCCGTGGGTAGGGATGCCTCTTGAACCTTGCCGTGGCTTCTCAGGACAGATGTTCTGTTCACCAAGCGACTTTGGGGCGGTTCCCCAGGGGCCTCACCTGACACATCTTTGATGGTTCGTTTCTTTGAATCCGGAGAACAATGTTTGGCCCTGCCCCCCTGAGGCCTTCCCTTGGTCGCTTCCTCCACTCCTTTTATGTGGGGCTCTGCCTCCCCTACATCCTGCCTACTGCCAACCGCGACATTGCCACTTGGGTCATTGAGGATGATGTCCCAGATTTTCTTTAATGCTCAAGCTCATAGGATCTGATGGCTGCAGACAATTGACGCTGCTCCTTCCCCGAGCGTCTTCTGCAGACCCCTTTTTCCTGCCTAGGCATCGTCCGTTCTTGGCTCTGTCTTATTCCCCGGTGCATCGTCCCTTCCTTGGACTGGATCTTTACTGCCTGTCAGTGGCATCTGTCTTAAGGTGTCGCTGGGTCCCACAGGACTCCAGTCTTCGTTGGTGCCAGTCGATGCCCACTCTGGCTCCGTGGGCGGCTCCCCTGGCTCACACTGGCTGTGGATCCCTGGGGCTACCCTCTCCTGGGGTGCCCACCAGATCCCCTCCCTGGGACCACTGGTGCGCTCCTGTCCCTCCAGACCGGCTGGGGGTTTCACTTCCAGTCCCCCTCACTGCTCTTCTGCCAGGCCTTTTATCCTGGCCCCAGGCATCCGGCAGGCCAATCAGTCCTGGCAGGCACGTATAAAACGTGCCCAAGCTGATGCAGAAGCCATCCCCAGCTCCTTCTGGCTCGTCCTTTTTTCTTCTCTTTCATCTTTGCCCACCACGGTTTCATTTTTCCTGCACTTATCTCCTGGCACGGTGTCCTACCACCTCCTGACTTCAGTGGGTAAGTCTTTTTCACAGAGGTGATTCATCAAAGCATTGCTGAAGGTAGGCAGTATTCTTCTAGTCCAGTAGTTATCAATTTTTTTTTTACACTCAAGGCATCCCTTGGAAAATGCCAGCTCCCCAAGCCACCCACAGCTCCAGCTTCCCACAAGTTACTGGCGACCATCTCACTCCTCCTTCTCCAGCTGTTAACTTCTGGTTTCCCAAAGAACCTGGAGAAATGTTAACTCCACAGACCTGCATCACATCTGGAGTCAGAGCCGTGAATTCACAGGGGAAAGCAGAATAGTTGGCTCTCAAACAGAGGACCAGAATGAGTTGCCATAGAAACCCAGGCTGAGCTCTGACAAAAAGGACACATTGCCAGATCCCTGGGAAGTCTGAAAGGTTCTCTTGTCTGGTTCAGAGCAACACACAGTGCCCAGAATGTGAGCATGCATTTTATTAGCTGAACCTTATGTACACAGCTCCCTGAGCCTAAAGACATGCTTATGCATAACAAGAGTATGTATTACCCTCCCTTCCCTTCCCCTCCTCCTCCCCGACACACACTTATATATTCAAATAAGTTAGAAACTATTTAGAACAAAAATGCAGGCCCTGGAGCCAAGGCTAGGAAGCCACTGACATTAAAGGAAGGGATCCCCAGTATTGTCAGGTTCCCACCTGAATAAATTGTGCTGTCATTTTGGATCTGCCTCAAACCTTGCATTTAGCTCATCGCGGGGCTGAGAATAACAAGTAGTCACAATCAACAGGATTTGCAAATATTCTCAGGTTTTCCTGCCCAGCCTCACCCCACAGCTGCTACTCCACCGTGGGGTGCCTGCCCACTGCACATTTCAGTTGTCTGACTTCTGAAATTTGCAATAGACAGAGCTGCATGGAGTCTTTTTCTTTAACCATGAGGGGGAAGGATGTGTTTTCTTTCAAAACTCAGCTGACCCCTTTCAACTCACACTTAGACATTTAAAAAGCTGCAGGCAAAGACCAAATCATAGGAAATTTCAGCCCAGAAAACAACAACTTGCTTGGAAAGTTTTGAGTACTAGAAAAATCCAGTGTCAAAAGAAAATGGAGTGCATGCTAAATTCCAGCAGTGAGCACTACTGACTTGATGGGTGTCAGTATTTTGTGTTGTGGGAACAAATGGATCCTGTGGGGATTGCACACACCAGGACAATACTGGATTGATACAGAACAGATGCGTCAAATAATTTCATGGGCAGAAAAATTGGGATTTTTTTAGTCTGAAGAAGAGATGACTGAGGGGGAATGTGATAACAGCCTTCACATACTTGAAGGGTGGTTATATGGAGGATGGAGACAGACTATTCTCTGAGGCTATAGGGGAGAGGACAAGAATGGATGGTCTTAAATTGCAACAAGCGAAACTGAGGTTGGATATCAGGAAGAACTTTCTAACCAAGAGGGGGGGTGAAGCATTGGAACAGAGCCTCCAGAGCAGTCGTGTCAAGCGCATGACCCACGGGCCAGATCCAGCCTGCAAAGCCATGCCATATGGCCTGCGGGGATCCTAGAAGGGCCAGGAATTTAGGGGTGGGGCAAGCAGGGATTGGGCCCACTATTGAAATGCAGGGTTTGGAGCCCTACTGGGAACAGTCACTGGCAGCAGGGTCAAGCAAAGGTGTATCAACCCCTATGGCCCGATGATGTTGCTTGCCCTATTGCTGCCACTTCTTAGCGATCCAGCCCTAAGAAGCCCTGCAGATAGAATCCGGCCTGGTGGGCAGGTGAGTTTGACACCTATGCTCTAGGGAGGATGCGCAGTCTCTGTTACAAGAACTTTTAAGTGCAGGTCAGATGAATTTCAGTGATGGATGGTTTAACCAGGGATGTTCCTGCCTTGAGGAGGAGGCTGGATCAGACGGCCTGCTAGAGGGCCCCTTTCAACCCCTTTATGATTTCAGCTGTTTGAGCTCAGAAATGGAATGTGATATGGAAAACCACACCTAGCTCCTCAATCCTTACATCAACAGCAGCATATGTCAGCTCACCTGGGTGCAAGCAACATTCCTCAGAGACAGCAAGCGAGGATGGAAGGAAGTTCATTAATACCAAGATGCTGCTGCTTTCATTCCAGTGACGGGAGACACAGGAATGACAAGAGATAGGGGGCAGAGACAACCAGCATGTAGCATGTGCACAGTACCACACTACAGGGGCAATACCACTTTCAGATTAGGAAGCAGTGTAGGCAAAACAGTGTTGCATGTCTCTACCTGACACTACAATAAAAGAGTATGAGCAGATCCCATTACCCCCTTAGCCAGCTTTATTCCTACAACTTGGTTCTGATTGGCAGCTGTCCCCAGTCATCATATGCTTTACTGCCCAAAAGAGTACGTTTTACTCTTCTAAGCAAAGTCTGGTGATGGGATGTACTGATGTGAGCCTTCCAGGCTGCTTTTCAACATAGGTAAGAAAGGTAAACCAGGCCAGCCTCTGAAGGTATCAGCATCACTGAGCTACAGACTCCAGAAGGCTGACCATTAACCCTTACCGTGTTAGCACCAATCCAACAATCTCACGGGAATCTGAAAGACACGAGTGGCATCTAAAGGAGAATGTGTGCAGTTCTCCACCCAGCGGGCTAGAGCTAGAGCTAGAACAGAGAGTCTCAACACTGATGGGTGATGAGGCACCCTGGGCTGCCCTGAGCCTGGGGTGAAGAAACGAGTGAGCACTAAGAGCTGGTATTTTCCAAGGGATACCTTGAGTGTAAAAAAGTTGAAACCGCTGGACTAGAAGAACACTGCCTGCCCCCAGCAGTGCTTTGATGGATGGTCTCCCTCCAGAAGGAAGTGGATGTGCAAGGTGAGGACACTGCTCAGTGTCATGGTGAGACTTTTCAATAAGATGCCAAAAGTAGGGAGTAGAAAAACCAAAATAACTGTCCTTTCTCCAAGCAAGGCAACAAAGGGCAAATCTATGCAACTCCAGAAGATTTCATAGATTTCATAGACATTCTGGCCGGAAGGGACCTCGGAAGATCATTGAGTCCAGCCCCCTGCCCAAAGGGCAGGAAGTCAGCTGGGGTCATAGGATCCCAGCAAAGTAAGCATCCAATTTGCTCCTGAAGGTGTAAGAGTTCTACCTAATGCAGGTAGAAGGCCTCAGAGACATGGAGAGCAGCCAAGGGAGGATGGCGGGAAACACTAATGTGAAGTTTCAGTCTCAGAGCTGAACAAAACTTCTGCTAACAGTAAACTCACTAGAAATATAGAGATTCAGCCAGGAAGAAAATGGTAGGAAAAATATCAAAGATGCCAAATCATCTCATGTGGACATTTTCAAGAGGAAGTGTGTTGTGTCAGAAATGCTGAGACAAACTACCATGTTTAGAATGATGTTTCAAAGTGGAATTTTTTAAGGGAGAAAACTGACCTCTATTAAGAGAAAAAGGAGCTGCTTTTGTTTGCATTTTGCAGGGGACAAAATCTTTGGTTCAGCCCGAAATAAGTTCTTCTCCCCACACCGATTTCCCACTTCAGCTCAAAAAAAAAAAAATAGCATGGTTCACCCCTCTCTACCCTAAAATGGTCAACACAGGAGACTGGGAAGGGTGCTAGAGAGATGCATGTACACATGGAGCACAGTTACAGGACACAGGCTGTGGCCAGAGGAAAAGCAGTGAGGAAATACAGGAGTTAATGTTTTAACGGCAATGTTAAGTCAGGCATATGAAAGGAGGATTTTCTAAAAGAAGGATTTTCTGAAAGAAAGAAAACTCTGGAGTATTTTCTCTCCTGCCTGTCTTGCTAAGTGGAACTGAATACTTTTATCTCTTTATGAGACAAGCATGATATATGATACACACCCACAGGGCAGGTATGTCAGCACCTTCATGCTTGCAGCAGTTCTATTT